AGAGATTTAATTTATTTTTCCATGCTAATTGCGATACTTGTACAAGATTTTGCGCATAATCCAATACGATAATATAATCAACATAATTACCTCTTGTTGCTCCAAAATATTCCAAGAACGTAGGATTCTTGTAACCAATTTCACCGTGGTTTTTTAATTCCTAGATAAATTCTTGTTCATTTTCGTTTGAATCACGAATTACCTTAAGTGCAATTCCATAAACTATTAATTCTATCGAACCAACAAGCGTAATATACAGTTGCAAATCCTCCTTTTCCTATTTCCTTGATATTTTTGAATTGATTACAATCAATCCAAGATAATTTAAATCTCTCATCATCTATAATAACAAATACGTACGTACGTACCAACACTATTCATCGCATCCGAATTTCCTAACTCAGCTACTTTCATATAATATTCAAAGATTCTTTTCAATTTGATTAATAATATATTATATGTAATAAATTTATTTATTAACAAATATGGAAATTTCATAGATGCTGAATACGTATACGTACGTACAGTACGTATGTGCAACATACCGAAAAGCATTGCATACATGTTTCTTATAATTCGGTCTGATATACCGGAGTTGAATTTTATTACGTGCATTATTGAAATGGGATCGAAATGACCCTCCGAGACTATGTTGATTTTGTGAATAAAAATTAAATTTGCCAGACATCTAGTTATCCAATTTGAATGAAATTTTTTTCATTCATAGATTCTATTGAGATTTACAAAATAAAAAAAAGGTTATTCAAATTGGATTATTAGATAGCTGGCAAATTTAATTTTTATTCACAAAATCAACTTAGCCTCGGAGGTCATTTTAATATTCAAATCTAGATAAATCTTAATCTTAATCACTTCAGGGGAAAAAACGGTCACTATCATCTTTATGGGGAGGCAAAAAATTTCTTCAAAAGACTAGTTGGTAAGCGTGCCATCTATAATGCTCTTTGCAAACTCGAGCTGTACGAAGTAAGAGACAAAGATATCGATTTTATCGGTTCTACCAACCCAAAAAAGATCAAAATTTCCGCCATTAAGTCCCTTAGCAAATTTAATTTTTTTGAAGAAGAGAAATCGTGGTTTACGTTTGAGAATGTAGCCAAATGGATAATTACTTTTGCCTCTCTTTTAGTAGCGTTTTTCATTTTTGATACGTTTTTTGGTACTAATATTCTTGGGACGCTTGCTTATCCTTTTCGCAATTGGGGGAGAGGTAGGCGTTCCGAAAATCGGTTATAAAGACGTGGGAGGCTATGATGAAGTAAAAGAGGAATTAGGAGAAATAGCCGAATACGTTAAGAATCCTAGGCCTTTTTGACAAAGAGGAATTAAGGTTCCTACGAGTACGATATTATATGGCCCACCTGGCAACGGCAAAACCTTAGTAGTTAGAGCCACTGCCGGCGAATGTCAGAAACCTTTTCTCTTTCGCTCGGGTTCCGAATTTGAGGAATCAGTGGTGGGACTTGGTGCCCGACGGGTGCGGGAACTTTTTCGCCGAGCCCGTGAACTAGCCAAAGTATACGGATTTTGTTTTGTTTTCATTGATGAAATTGACACGATTGGTCGCAAAAGATATTCGGCTCATCCGGACCATGCCGAACAGACCCTCAATCAATTACTAACGGAACTGGATGGATTTCGCCCTCGCGATAATGTTATTGTCCTAGCAGCCACTAATTCTCTACATGTTTTAGGTAGTGCCCTCTTGCGGCCCAGTCGATTCGACCGCAAAATTTACGTTCCTTCTCCTAATTTAAAAAGCCGGTGTGAGATTATTAAACTTTGCACCCGCCGACTGCTACTCAAACCTGACGTCGATTTAGAGGATATTGCGGCTCCGACTAAGGGCTTAAGCGGTGCTCAAATTACTAGTATGTTTAACGAGGCTTCTATTTTGAGCATTCGCAGCGGTCAAAAATACATTGACTACGAAATGATTTTTGAAGCCTACGATCGGGTACTAATGGGGCCCTCTTGGACCAGCCAAACCCTAACTCCGGAGAAAAAAAAAATAGTGGCTTATCATGAAGCTGGTCATGCGGTTATTGGTCTGAGTTTACCGGAAACAACTGTCAAAAAAATTACTATTGTCCCCGTTTGCATGCGGGTGGCTACACTTGGATCGATTTGTATGGGGAAAAGGGCGACGACTACCTTATTAACAAAAGCCAAATGCTAGCTCAAGTGATGTCTTTTTTAGGTGGTCGGGCTAGTGAAGAATTAATTTTTGGTTTGGAATATATTACCATTGGTGCTTATAGTGATTTTAAGCAAGCCACCGGTATTGTTCGGGATTTAATTTTGCGTTATGGAATGTCAGATTTAGGGATTGTTCCGACCCAATAAACTTTTTTTTCGAGCGAAGAAATACCCCTGAATTACCCGAAATTGCCAAGCAAAAAATCGAACGGGAGCGAGAAAAAATAATGAACCAATGTTGAAACTAAAACGGCCGGAAATAGCAAATAATATGCATAATGCAGGCCGGCCGCACGTAATATTGATATTTGCTTATATAGCAGTTGAGTTTGTGCTACTTAGCGCCGATTATCTGGACTTGTTCTGGTTGGTGGTACCGTACCACGATGCGCATCACGATCTTCGAAATACTTATTTGTACGTACGTTAGAATTTTTCCCTTTCATACTTGACATTATCTCAAATACTTAAATAACGAGATAGCTTAAATTTTTGATCTGCAAAACTTTTGCAATGTCAATTAAATCAGTTGAAAAACTTTTAATTGCTAATCGTGGTGAAATTGCTTGCCGGATTTTACAAACATGTAAAAGAATGGGAATATCCACAGTTGCGGTATATTCTGATATGTAAGTTATTAATAATTACAGTTTTTTTTTTTTTTATGAAATTATTTCTGTTTGAAATAAAATTTCAATTATGATTCTATATTTCATATATGGCTAATAAGTGAACAAAACGCACTTTTCGTAAAGTTGGCAGATGAAGCAATACATATAGGGCCACCTTCTGCTGCAGACTCATATCTTCGGGGAGACAAAATTATCGAAGCTGCCAAACGAGTTGGTGCTGATGCCATCCATCCGGGTATAAAGAATATATAACTGTTTATAGATGATGAAATTTCTTGATCCAATTATTTAAAGATTTTTTTTTTTTTTTTTGACAGGATATGGATTTTTATCCGAAAATGCAGAATTTGCCAGAAATGTGGTCAACTCAGAGATTATATTTATTGGCCCTACATCAGAATCAATTTTGGCAATTGGAGATAAGGTTTGATTTTATTAATTTTAGGAGATTTAGACACATTATATATCAGATTCGTTATATCTCACTATTACAATTATAAAAAAAGATTGAAGCAAAAAATTTACTTGCTAAACACTTGCCATCTGTAAATTTGATACCTGGTTATAATGGTGATATTCAGAATATAGATGTTTTGGTTTATGAATCCAAGAGAATCGGTAAATTTATTTTACACTATTAGTTAATATGGAAAATAATTTTTGCAATATTAGATAAATCAATTAATCAATGATTTTATTAGGATTTCCTGTGTTATTAAAAGCATCTGCAGGTGGTGGTGGAAAGGGTATGCGTATTGTTCATGAGGAGTCAAAGTATGTATAATGTCAATATATGCACCTTTTCTTATTTTATATATTAAATTGTAATGTTTAATTTAGATTAAAAGAAGCAATAGAGCTTGTAAAATCAGAATCACTCCAATCTTTTGGTTCAGATAGAATTTTAATTGAAAAGTATTTTGAGTCAATTCGTCATGTTGAGGTTAGGTTGTAGATGATAATATTCTTTATTTTTTATTTAAATTATCTAAGATAGATTTATTTAATTAGGTACAACTAATTGGAGATCATTGTGGAAATATTTACCACTGTTTTGAGAGAGATTGCTCCATTCAAAGACGACATCAAAAAATTATTGAGGTAGATTAAATTAATTTATATTATATTTTTGAATCTTTATTCATTGCAAAGAATTTTTGAAAAAAATTTTATTAAATCATAGGAAACACCATCTCCAGTATTGGATCAGAATTTGAGACAAAACATGATTGATGCTGCAATTAAAATTGGTAAACTCTTGAAATATACAAGTGCTGGGACTGTTGAATTTATTGTGGTAAGTTTATTAATTTTATATTATTGATAATAATAATAATAATAATAATTTAATATTCCCACTGTCCCGGGGATTATCGTGTTTTCATGAAATGATGCAATATTTTGAATATATGCACATTATTTAGAGTACCTACATGGACATTATTTTGAGAAAAAATAGGTTTTACCTAAACCTGTTTGCTATATTTAATCATTTGGGGTCTTTGCCTTGAAAATGACCTTATGAGACTATGTAGATTCTATGAATAAAATTAAAATTTCTAGTTGTCCAGTAATTCAATTCAAATAAACTTTTTTATTTTATAAAGCTTAGTAAGTTCTACAAAATAAAAAAAAATTATTTGAATTAGCATATTAGATAGCCAGAAATTTTAATTTTTATTCATAAAATCTACATAGCCCTATAAGGTCATTTTCAAGGCAAAGACCCTATTTTCTAAAACCTTAATGTGAGAGTATTATCATTTCGGGATGCACGTAGACATTATTTTGAAACCTTTGCATACTATTTTTTAGAGATGCGATCTATTATTTCGTGAAAAAATATGGTATTTATTATTATTATTATTATTGTTTTGAAATAGGATATCAAAGAAAACAAATACTATTTTCTCGAAATGAATACACGTTTACAAGTTGAACATCCAATTACTGAATTTATAACTGGCTTGGATCTGGTCGAACTTCAAATATTGGTTTCTCAAGGTAAGTTATGAGTAAATTTATCTCTTACATTGTTACGAAAGCATTAATAAGTTACTAATTTTACAGGATATGATTTATCGCATTCACAATTACCAACATTAAAGTCAAATGTATGTAAAAATTATAAAATTTATTGATTATTTTAATATAAACTTACAATATAGAAATAGGGACATTCCATTGAGTGCCGCCTTTACTCTGAAGATCCTTACACCAATTTTCTTCCGAGCATTGGTAAAATTCTTCAATTTAAACCATATTTAGCACCAAATATTAGATACGACACTGGGGTTGAAACAGGTTTATATAATTATATAAATATTTTGTTTATTTAAGGATCACTATTTCTTTATTCTAATCTATTATTATTCGTGAAAAGGGTCAGAAATATCTGTATACTATGATCCTTTAATTACCAAAATTTCAGTCTGGGCTCCAACACGTAATCAAGCACTTCAAAAAATGAGACTAACGTTACAAAATACTATTTGTCTTGGTCTAGTTACAAATCAACAATTTTTATTACAAGTCATGAATGATCCAAACTTTATATCTGGAAGATATGATACTAATTTTATTGAACATCAGTTTTCTCTGTCTAAAAACCAACATATACAAGGTGAATTAGGAATTATACCATTTTTATGGTTATGGTACATTAGGGAAAAACAAAGAACTGTGTTAAAACATGTTCCTTCTGGATGGAGGTATTTAAAATATAAAAATTTTACTGATGAATATATTGTTCATAATGGAAATAATGTTCAGAGTTTAGAGTTAGAATATGAGTATCATACGAAGTTAGATGGTGGGAAAATTGGCAACAGTGGCGAACATATATTTAGCATTTGGATAAAAGGAGATAGCAATAAATGTAAACATGTCGTGTTAAAGGATGTGATTATTAATGAAAATGGTTTGTTCTAACCTTTAACCTTGCAATTTATTGTTGCTTTAAAGACTTATTTAATTATTTGATCATTACTATTAGATATTGTTTATGGGTCTTTAAGATGTTCTATAGGTTCGCTCTTATTTTTAAAAATTATCACATATTTATATCAATTAACAAACTATATTTGGTTACAGATGGCATACAGAAAGTATTTAACATAGCTTCTAAATCGCAAAATTTACATTCACAAGAAGTTTATGTTCATTATAAGGAATTGGGTGGACAGATCAAATTTATAAGAAACAAAAAAAAGTTTTATAATGAAGATGTTGAAGATGATGGTATGACTTTTTCAAATTAATTTTTTTAAAGTTATAAGAACTAATTTAAATTTTTATATAGTATCACCATACACAGCTCCAATGCCATGCAAAATTTTAAAAATTCTAGTCCTGCAAAATTCTAAAATTAGTAAAAATGAAGCTATATTAACTATAGAATCTATGAAGATTGAAACAAGAATATACTCTAGGCATGATGGTGTCGTAAAGCTCTTGGTCAAGGAAGGTGATATTGTTGATGCCGGAACTGTTTTGATTAAGATTGAACAAAATAAATGACAAAAATTTGTAAGTTCTTTTAAAGTAGGAGGTACACGCATAACAACCTGAAAAACTTTATTTATACGGAAAAAATTAGAAATACATTATTTGTGAAGATACGATACAATATGATAGACTTTATTATTCAAACCGGATTTAAAAGTGTTATAGGAGATACTACGTAAAATTGTTGAACCAGAGGCATTTAATATATGATATATGACGGATAGATTACGCACAATACCTATAAAAAAAAGCAATATAATAAATGCCAGGCAGTGAAAATAAAGAAACAGTCCACAAGTATTAAAATCTATAAATTTTGGTCTATCTAATAAAGATAAATATAAAAATATTCTTCATACTTTTTTTTCTCTTAATTTTCTCCAGTTTCACCTTTTTATATGATTAAAAACGTTTATTTTCTGTAACTTTATTTGAGGTCAAGCAAATCAAAATTAGAGTGCAATTTTAATTTAAGAAATTTCGATGCAGCAAATTATTATTGTAATTACATATATAAATTTTTGAATTAATAATAATAAGGTACGTACGTACGTACGTCAGTACGTAGTCAAATTGTCACGTTGTGTGATGCTTGTTAAATGACCTGTCAATAAAACGATTATCGGTAAACAAAGCTCACCTACTAGTTGGTCCAGCTGGAAGGATTGTGTCGTTAAGGTCATGTGAAGATTACTGAGATATTCTATTTTCACGGAGAATAATAAAAATATATATGAGTCTTAAAGTGAGAAAACACACATGGATTATTACAGTATAAACGATCCTATCATAAATAATTAATCTTACCGCTTAATGTCGGTGATGCTAAAGATTGTGCATCTTGATATTTATATAGGTAATATTAGAAACTTATGATGCTTCAAGAAATAGTTTCAACCACTAAAACGTTGGCATACCTAACAGATTTACTCGTTGTAGGAGTTGTAATCCTAAGATCCAAATAATATAAATTATTGAGATATTGATATAACATTTAAGGTGAATAGACATCTTTGCACGCATGTAGGGATGGTCACAACTTCAGCAAATTCCATCGACTCGACTCGATCAATTGTTTGACTCGACTTAAGTCGACTCAGAATCGTAGATACATGTATCTCATAGTGAAGAATTTTTATTTATTATACCTTCAGACATAACTCCTTTAATTAGTCTTGTGTTATTTAAATACTCTATTTAAAATTAAAATTGTAAGTAAAAATCTTTAATTGTTTTATTTTTATAAATGCTTTTTTCTTTATCCTCTGTCATAGACGTTAGTGTTTGCAATTTAGCAATAAAATGTTAACATTAATATGCAGAATTATCAGCTATTTGCAATTGTAACTAACAGAAAAATAATCGAGTACTCTATAATCAGTTGACGGCTTTAAATGAAATGTTCACATACCTTGAGTCATGTCTGTTTGTGAGATCCTCCAGGGACTATTAACCATAAGATTTCTAAGGTCATAAGATTCACTTGCCGGAGATCTTGTAGATTCAGATAATTCGTTGAAATCATTAAAATCATTTTGCACTTGTGAAATATCACCACCTGAACATTAGGGTGTTCAATAAACTAATTAATCAAAACATAGTTAGGGTCATTAAGTTCGGATTTTTTAAAGGGTTATTTCAC